GTGGTGTTTGAGGTGACAGAATAAATTTAATTTTATGCAGATGTCATGATGCAGTAACTACCAATGGGAGTGCAGCAGATAGATAGTGGAACTGACGAGATCCGCCTTCTGATGCAGTTGGATAGTTGTGTAGCAACTAGTGGGACCTCTAGTGATTTATTCAGTGTTTGTATGAACACATCTATAGTTATAAACACACCATGATTGGATATTTCAGGGGCCATGCCAGCGCAGAGGTCAGTTCAACGTGTTCTTTCTTGTAGTCTAAACCAGCACTGGGAATCTAATGTGTTTAAGTGTGTATACTTTAATGTGTGTGTCTCCGATATATAAGAAAAAATAGCTCTTTGTTTTTTCTCCCCCAGGACATCTCAAACATGAGATAATGAATACTTTTATGGTCTTCTTGTTTCTTATACACTATCATTCAAATGTTTGGGGTCAGTAAGTTTTTTTGTTTTTTTTAAGAAATAAATACTTTTATTCAGAAAGCATACCTTAAATTGTGGAAGCTTGTTTCCGCCACAGAATAATTTTAAAAGATAATTGGGACTTTTTTTCTCTCAGTTGCGAGTTTATATCTCACAATTCTGACTTTATAACACACAAGTGCGACTTTATATGACGCAATTCGGAGATAAAAAGTCAGAATTGCAAGATGTAAATTCGTAATTGTGAGATAAAAAGTCACAATTACCTTTTTTATTTTTTATTCTGTGGTGGAAATGAGCTTCGATATTAAATGGATCAAAAGTGACAGTAAAAACATTTATAATGTTACAAACTATTTCTATTTCAAATAAATGCTCTTGTTTTGAACTTCACGGTATCACTGTTTCCACAAAAATATTAAGCAGCACAACTGTTTGCAATATGATAAATCAGCATATTAGAATGATTTCTGAAGGACCATGTGATGCTGAAGACTGGAGCAATGATGCTGAAAATACAGCTTTGCCGTCACAGGAATAAATTAAATTTTAATGATATTTTAAAATATATGCAACACGTATTTTATTGATTAAATTGTAAATAATAATAATATTATTATTATTTTGAAATAAAAGAGTTCAATTAACTGTGCAGCTTTACTTTTTACAGCACAGATCTCCAGTCCACACAGAACATTTTTTGAAACTGAACAGAAAATGGGCCATTCAGAAGTCGTCACAGTGTTGAAGACACAGCCGTGAACGCATTAACATACGACTGCCCATATTTACATATAAACAACTTTTAAGTATCCAGCAACTTGCCATTGTTACTCATTTCATATGCAAAAGTGATTTGCATATAGAAGGCATTTAAGGTTATATTCTAACTTCTTAAAGGTACAGTAGCAAAATCAGTCTGGGTGGAAGTGATCATGTAGAACTAAATTATGATTGATGTTGCTGTAAGAAACCTTTACTAACATTATAAGTGGACCTTGGGGAAAAATATATGCCCCCTGGTTTTGTTTTTGAGTGTGTTATGTGTGGTGGCAGGAGATCATGGATTCCAATGCATTTTGTGTATGTGTGAGTGTGTGTTTTGTCAATAATGAGTATAGCTGATGTTACATTACTCTTTCAGCGGGGGGAATCCCAGCATAACTGAGGTATCATGTTCAGAAAAATGGTAAAACAACTGGCAGAGCCAGAACAATTCAGCTTTAAAACTATATCCTTCGCATCTGTTACTAAAAACATGGCCTGGTCTGAAAAAATCTTAGACTCATTGTGTTATCTGGTGCGGTTATCACTTTTTATTGCCTTTCTTTCTTGTCTCTCATGACAAGTCTTATTGGCTTGACTATAAAGCCTTTGCAATATGCAAAATTCATGGTACAGATAAACTACTCCTTATCTTCGTTTGTATCTTTATCATTCCTGCCAACACACACAAACCTGCTTTTTATTCTTACAGCTGCAGATATGAAAGTTACTCGCTATTTTGTTAACCACAATTTCCACATTGATAACCACAAAGTTAATTAAAGATAAGTGAGTTATCATACATCATTCACTTGTCCACTTTATAGATCCCGAAACCTGTTTGACCAAACCACTTCCGGATCGGTAGTTTATGCAGTGCTGTGTTTGTTATGGTATCTTACTGTATTCAGGAGAGCAGACACTCTTATGTGACTAATCTGCTGGGTAGAATACACATATATACAGTATATAATAATTACAGACCTTCTAACATACATGCGTTAGCTGAGCAATGTAAATGATAGTTTGTGTATCTGTGTATTTTGGTGGGTTTCCTACTTTTCAGTTTGTTACTATGGTTTCTCATTGTTTGATTATCCATTGCACCTGTTGTTCATTTCGTTTGGTCTGTGTATTTAAGCTCTGTGTTTCTTTCAGTTCATGGTCAGTTCTGGTTGCGTTTTACGTCATGTTTATAGCGGTTGTTCTGTTTCATTGTTCTGAGTATTTTGAGTTCAGTTGAATAAATCTCGGTACTGCTGCGAAAATATCATTTGCTCACCTTTATTGCAACCGTTTGTGGTTTGACACGCAACTGCTATGGAGGCTATATGTTGTTGTGGGCAATATTAGCTCTAAAAGCATATGCACAGATACATATTTCTAAAATCAATTGGCATCATCCCATCCCCCCTGACAAACTCTTTTTAACATATGATTATTTGTCATACTGTTTTATTGCAGCATTTTTAACATTATGATTTTTCCCTACCATTTTATTGTACTATTTCTAACATGCTATGAATATTTTATACTTTTTTTATTATTATATTATTAGTGTGATAAATTTATTGTACTATTTTTAACAGTATGATTGTTCAGTCGTTATATTATTGTACAACTTTTAACATACTATCATTATTTTATCGTACTATTTAAAAGAGTATGATTATTTAGTTTTATTTATACATAATATAATTAATTTGTTGTACTAATTATTGTACTATTTTTAACATACTTTGAATAATTTATTGTGCTATTTTTGCCATACTATATTATTTTCTCATACTATTTTATTCTACTATTTTTAACATAATTAGATTTTTTATTGTGCTATTTGAACATACTATACTAATACTAAAATGAATATTATTGTCCGGAATTTTAAGCTTTTAAATTTGGCATTTCTTGGTTTTGGTATTTGGTATGCTTTTTGAACTCATGATGAACTTTTAAGCTAATTATAGAAAAGGTCTGAGAATAGGAGCTAACCTGTGGTGACTCACACACGCACAAATACACCCTTGAGCTTGTATTGTCATCAGTTTGTTGACAGCTCCTGTGCTGTGCGTGCCCACTGAATACCATCGCGTTGGTGGTTGTAGATCTAATTTCCCACCTCATGCCCTCAAAAGAACCCCAGGACTCTTTGCTGTGGTCTGGAAAGTTCTGATCTGATCCTGTTTCATATGGTTAAGTTCAAACTCTCACTTTTCCTACCTCATATCAAAGAGATGAATCAACATCTAAATTACAAGAAACCGCAGGTGTGGGTGTTTCAGTGTCAAGAGATCTTCTCGTTTATACATTCAATGACTTTTAATGATGCATCAGGCAATTTAAATATCAAAAGCACTTTGTAGCCTATCAGATGTCATGACTCATAAAATGTATTTGACTGAAAGTGATTCCTGTTACCAGTGATTAACTTTAAAGGAATAGTTCACTCAAAAATTAACATTCTGTCATTCTTTTTGAATGTCTTGTAAACAAATGTGGCATGTTTATATGCTGACATGAGAATTGCATTTGAGAATATACATTTCCATTTAAAATGCACTTGAAATACCCCTTTTAAAAATCTGTTGATAAATTAAATATAAAATGTTTATTTTGTAGTGGTTAATTAAAGGTGCTCTATGTAACTTTTAGCGGCCTCTAGTGGTGATGTTTCAGATTGCAACCAAATTTTACAAGAGCGCTCGTGCTCGAACTCATAGACAATACCGTCTATTACGCGAATATCTCGGCGAATACTAGACGGATTCGGCGAGCAGCGAGCTCGTTGGGACCATCTAGTCGAGCTGAAAAGAACCATATAAGTTCCATAGTTTTTGGTGGTGTTTTCGCGGAGATATTAGCAGAAAACCATCGGGCGCGCTGCAAAATTGCGGACGCCGGTGACGTCACGATCTCAGAAGAAAATCGCTCGTATCTCTGGAACGCAAAGACCCAGAGACCTCAAATTCGGGGGAGGAGGTCCCAGGGGAATCCTTGCCCGAACGCTAGAGTGGCGGGCCTCGGGGATGCCCCCTACCGGATCGCCGTTCGCTGGGACCCCCAATTTCGAACGGCTATAACTCGGGGAGCCGGGCGAGTTGGACCTCGGGGGTGGGCTCGTTCGAAAGGCCCCGTCCAGCACTACGAACGATTAGAGTCTTGGGAATATTGACTGAGATATAAGCCGAACAACGTGCGCCTTTAACCGGACGTAACTCCCTGACCGTCTACAATAGACTGTATATAGGAGAGAGGCTCGGGAGCGCGCATGCACGCCACATCCGTTGGATTTCGCGGTAAATCCGACCCGGAGACTTCACATAGAAATAGGAATACTGGTCTTCAGAGGTAATAGCAAAACTCATTTTAATGTGTGATTACAACCCCTTCACACACAGACAATAAAAAAAGGATTAATTTTAGTAGAAAAGTTACATAGAGCACCTTTAAAGAATGAAAGTTTTCTAATGTTGTGTGCTCAGTTTGTCAGTGTGTGATCCCTGCCACATCATTTACCCTTCTCAGGACCTTTCTTCGACTTGCATAATGGCCCATATATGCTTGGCAAGAGTCTGAACTGTCACATACTTCTCTATACCTGTAGGATGAAGTACTTTTAAAACACATTTTGAAGGTTCTAAAATGTATACAGTGAAGGTGCTCATCAGCTGCTCTGGTTTGTGCATTTTCAAACATGAGCATCATTTCTCTCTGCTGAATTCCACATTTTCTGTTTCTATGCCTGTGTTCCTCATCGATGTTTTTGCCTTTATGCTCTGTATCTCTTTCTCTCTGTCCTAATAGTTATTTCAGGGGATGTTGTCCGCTCTACACTCTGAGATAGATATTCAAAGATATCTGATGAAAATCCAGACCGTTGGTTCACGCAGAGTCAGTACTAGCATGGATGAGAGTGTGTGATGCATGTGTGTGTTTAACAATACCACAAAATCACCTAACTTGGACAAAACTTTTTTATTTGAAGTTAATTAACTGACTATATTAATATATATGTAAAGGCAGGTCCATACTGCCTTTGTATTTTGATGTATAATTCTGCATACATTTTGAATCTAGTTTTTGGTGTGGTCAGTCATTCTGATCTGTGTCTTGCTGCATGAATGATTGCAGTGGTCACAGTTGACCGGCGACTGTCGCTTTAAATAAAATGTGCAGTGTGTGTTACATGTATTCAGACAAATTATGCTTTGTTCACAATGAGTGGTTCAAGTTTTATGCATGTAGTAATGACAACTACTAAAGGTTCTATCCTGTCCATTGACTAGTCTTGATGGTCTAGATGGGCTACCAGTGCATCAGATTATTAAGCTGGTTAATTCTGATAGACGACTTTGAAACAAATACTACAAACCTGTTACCATGTCCCTACAAACAGCCTGACCATCTTAAATTGGTATGATCTGGTTTTTCAAGCAGAGAAGACAAAAATGGTTTATCAAGCTGGTTTATGCTAGTGGACCACTTTGAACCAGCTACTACAAACTAGCTACATTGTCCCAAAAACAGCTTGACCATTTTAAGCTGGTATAATCTTCTTTTTTCCCAGCAGGGAAGACAAAAATGGCTTTATCAAATTGTTTTTTGCTAGTAGACCAATTTGTACCAGCTACTACAACCCAGCTACAATGTCCCAAAAACAGTTTGACCATCTTAAGCTAGTATGAGCTGTTTTTGGTTTTCCCAGTAGAGAAATAAAATGGTTTTATCAAGCTGGTTTGTGCTAGTAGATCACTTTGAACCAGCTACTGCAAACCAGTTACAATGTCCTAAAAACAGCCTGACCGTCTTAAGCTGGTATAATCTTTTTTTTTTCTTTCTTTTTTTTTTTTTTCAGCAGAGAAACCAAAAATGCCATGGTTTTCAGGAATTCCACTAATGATGTGCCATCAAATTCAGCATGTTATCTGACACTCCTTTTCTTCTTCCTCCTACAGAACCGGGGCTCTAAGCAGAGCGTGGTGTGTCAGAGTCCAGTTCCTGTGTTTGTGGATCAGGTGGAGCACGGCTCTCTGGTCTCTCTAGATGCTCTGGAGGTCATGTCTGAGTGTGACATGCCCATCGCCTTCACCCGAGGCTCCCGGTCGCGAGCCAGTCTGCCTGTGGTCCGCTCTACTAACCAGACCAAGGATCGTTCACTAGGTATACACACTGATACACGAATACTAAATTATATACAGATACACTCATTCTAAATATATAGCAACCATGCAGAAAGACCTGCTTGCTAGGGCTACACGATTCATTGAAAGAAAAATGAAATCGCTGTATGGCTTAGTGCGATTATTAAATCGCAAATGCTGCATGTTTCAGAGTGAATGTGGCGCTGTGTTCATTATCTCATTATTAGTTAATTCTTTATCATTTTTCATTATTTATTTATTATCTCTAAGTTTGAGTCGCTTTAACATGCATTTGGGAATGCAACATGCACCAACTTCCCAATCTTCCCCAAACTTGTAATAAAAAGCGCATATCAACAAAAAGCTTTAAAGGGATAGTTCACCCAAACATGTATAAATTCCTTTCTTATGCTGAACACAAAAGATATTTTAAAGAATATGGGTAACCAAACAGTTAGGCCCATAACATTGACTTCCATGGTATGGAAAAAAAATACGATGGAAGTCAGTGGGCTCCATCAACTTTTTGGTTACCGACATTCTTCAAAATATCTTCTTTTATGTTTAGCAGAAGAAAGAAATTCATACAGGTTTGGAACAACTTGAGGGTGAGTAAATGATGACAGAATTTTCATTTTTGGGTGAACTATCCCTTTAAGGGCTCTCTGCGTTTTTCTGTCAAAATAAAAGTTTGATGGTTTATCACAAGAAATTTAGACAGCCATAAATATTATTATAGTAATTTTACAGTTGTGAAATAAAATAAAATATTTTAATAGCAATATAGTAATATAGTTTAAATTTTTTCAGTGAAATATTGCAATAGTAATATTTTTGTTTTTTTTATTTAGTAATTTATATATGTTTATTTATTAGTAATGATAATAATAATAATACTTTATTATTATTATCATTATTATTAATAATAATAATATATCCATATTGTTATATAATCTAAAATTACGCTAGCACATGCAACCTGTAATTTCTTTTACTCACATTTTACATAGCAATCACAATTTTATCAGAAAAAACAATTTCTTCCCAAAATCGTGCAGCCCTACTACTAGCCTCATAGAAACACATTTGTAGTAATAGCATAGCATGGGAATCATGACTTTGACGTCTATATATATATATTTATTTTACATTTAATTCAAACTTCAATTATAATAAGGAAAAGCAAATAAACGAACTCACAAGGGTTTAGGAACATGTCGAATTGTGAATGACGGGTGTTCGATTTCTGCGGTAATCTGCTGAGTTTTCTGTGGAATTCACCAGTATGAATGAGCGCTCACACACTGCTGCCTTACTTATTTTCCGTCTGGCTGCTAAACGATTTAGTTGCAGAGTTTAAGTATCTGTGGAAGTGTGTGTTTACTTAAGTTTGTCTGTCTGTCTCTTGTATATAAGTTCAATGTCATAACAGAGAATTTGGCTCTGTCATCATCGGTTCATGTAATGGAAATATACGAGGCTCCACAGCTCAAATTCATAGCCTGTATTTAACATCTCACAGGCATACATTACCGCACAGACTCATGCTTGTGGACACACAGAAACACACGGAAATAGGACTCTTTTGCCAACATACACACACACATACACACACACACACACACACATTCACCAGCACACTCCGAATACTCCCTACATCCAGATAGAATGACGGTCAAACACACACAGGCCTTGAAATGGGAGCTTTCTCTGGCTGCTTATCTGTGATTGGTCGGTTTAAACAAGGACCATCTGGAAAGACAGTTATGGGGAGGAAAAGTGTGTTCACTCAAACTATGCCCTCAATATTCCTCTGAGAAGATGTAGATGTAGGCAGACCTGCAGGGACAAGCTAGATGAGGTTTAATCAGAAGAAACACAAAGGCGAGGAGACCGGCATCTATTAGAGACCTGCTTGCTGTAAGTCACAATTCCTCTAGTTCAGTGGTCTTAAGTTTCAGTTGTTGAGAGATGTCATCTTAGGTTTGTGTAAGACCTTCTTTGGAAGATTAGAGCACTACAGTCTGGTACTGGAAGTAAAAATCCCATTCATTTTTTCTCTACAGAAATGTATTTTTAACAATATCATATAAGCCTTGCTTAATATTTTGCAATAAACTTCAAATATGTTGCATTTTATTTGATTATATATTGCCGTTTAGTCAGTAGTTTCATATTGTTCCATTTTTATTCGTTAACGTTATTTGCAGAGTTTTGTGGGATATGGAGTTCATTAAAGGGGGGGTGAAATGCTGTTTCATGCATAGTGAGTTTTTTTACACTGTTAAAGAGTTGGATTCCCATGCTAAACATGGACAAAGTTTCAAAAATGAAGTTGTAAGTTTGATGGAGTAATTCTGTTCCAAAAATACTCCTTCCGGGTTGTCACAAGTTTCGGAAAGTTTTTTTCGAATACGGGCGTGTGTGACGTCAGAGTGGCCGGAATTTCCTTATACGGGTCTTAAGGGCACTTCTCCCGGAAGGGCGCGCGCGCATCTGTAGCCTAGTGCGTGCGAGAGTACGCCTATGCCCATCAGAGCGCTGGGCTCGGTCGGCTGCGCTGCAATTAAAAAAAGGGCAAGACAACACTGCACAAATTTCCAAAGAACCCAGCGTTAAGGGACCAGTGGATGGATTTTGTTTTTCCAGAGCAGCAACGGAGTTGTGCAAGTGTTTTTGTTTGTTCCCTTTATTTCGACGGTAATAGTTTTATAAACAAGGCCCAGTTCAACGCCGGATTTGCAGATCGCCTAATACTTTTAAGATGGAGCAGTCCCAACGATAAAGGTTCACGGTCGTGCGTTGGAACCGCAGGCGGTGAGTAAAACTGCTTCAAATGTCTGTGAGTTGTTAACTATCGGCGTGTAAGCACAGCAAGTAAACAACATGATCACATACAGTTAATGTATATCTATGGAGCATGCGATGTATGGTGTGTGTGTGTGTGTTTAAATACATTTGTTTAGCTGGCCACTGTAGGTGTCAGTTTGTTTATTGTAAAAATAAATCATGTCCTCATAAACCACGAGTCTGTCTGTTTACAACACACAAATGTTATAAAACTCGCGCATGACATGGTGTTCTAAAAACACTGCGCTCAAGTTCAAATCAGTTCTATTTTTTTTTTTAAAAAACGCTCGAGACCTTATGGTTTTTCACCCATGCATTTCACTGCCCATCTCACGTTTTTGTGAGCAAAAACGCGTTCTGTATGAACGAGCCCTTAGTATTGTTTAGATCCTTGTTCTGCATGGGATTATTATCTGATTGTTAGCCATGGTTTATTTTCGGATGTCACTCACAGCTTCCAGACGCTCTTAACGCAAAAGCTTCGCGCGCTCGTGTCGTGATTATTTAGCTCCGCCCACACGGCAAGCCTCCACCCGCTCGGGTTTTTCCGGAAAGACTCGGTACAGCCTATCTTTCTTTTATAAATATAATAAAACTAAAGACTTTTTGGAGATATGAAGGATGCAATACTACTCTATAGGTACTCAAGATTAACATGAGATTGAGTGAAACTGAGTGTTTCACCCCCCCTTTAATTGGTAAAATATGTTAAATATACATGTTTTTCTTGGAGTTTCAAATACAGTTTCGCTTCGAAGTTATTGTTACTAAATAGTTTTCAGTAATTAAAATAAAGTTAATACACAAATAAATATACAAATTAAATGAAAAACCTCAACTTTAAAAAAAATGAAATTTAGAAATATTTTACTGAAATAAAATGTTCAAGTTGATGTATTAAAATTACTAAAACTGCAATAAAAATAAATGAAAGCTAAATATAAATATAAAAACCATGACCAAATCATAACTAAATTACAAAAAGTTTAACTAATAATAAAAGATAATAAAAAATGTCAAATACTAGTATATAAACAATAATAAAATAACAGTGATCCTTAAGGAGAAAATGAGAAACAATAAATTTTTCCAATGCTCCTGAAAAGGGTGTTTACTGATTGAAAAAATATATTCTGTCTTCACATTGGACAACAAGACAGTGGGATGATATAAGAATAAATTTGTAATCAGAATTAATCATCTTTTTCTACAGTAAACGGTATGAATGGAGATGATTGAAACGTCTCATGGACAGTATTAAAATTCAAACAACTAAAACCTTTTTCCTTTGAGTCTTTTCCCGTTTGTCTAAGAGTGCTAGTATGTGATTGTGAATAAAGCAGTCCTTCAGATGTGGCTTGGCATTTAGCCCAAGGTGCTCTTCTGAATTATATGCTGTTGATTGTTTGATGCTCGACAATTAGTTATTAATGTCGGTCATTAGAATGAAATGGTAGGGTAGAGTTTCAGAGACTGTTCCAAACCCAAGTGAGCTGTCTACTGTTTACATGAGCTGTGAGGCATGTGCATTAAACACAAACATCTGCTATTAAGTGTTCTGCAACATGACATTTATTTAATTTATTTATTAATATTTTGTTTAAAATCTTTCATGTAATGATGTATACTTTGCAGCACATAATGAAATGTGTGTTTAAAACAGGGGTGGATTCTATCTATCTATGTTCTATCTATCTATCTATCTCTATCTATCTATCTATCTATCTATCTATCTATCTATCTATCTATCTATCTATCTATCTATCTATCTATCTATCTATCTATCTAACACACAACAAACACTTTCACACGCGCACAAACAGTTGTCTCACCTAGTAAGCGTAAGCGAAAATGGAAATACACATTTCACTTATCTGCATATGGTCCCTTGTGAACCGCTGTAGGCAAACATTAAAACTCCCTCCATCCGTCCAACACTCCGCCACACCCTACTTCTCTCTTTCGCCCACTTGCTCTTCCCAACAAATTTTCCCACCAGATTTTACACACCCACTCATAGAATTGAGGGGATCCCTCATGGAAGAAGAGACAAGTGATTTATCGATATGGTCGCATGTAGAAATGCATGATGCAGTGCCATGTCAGATATCGGCCAATGATAATAGTTAATAACACTGTTGACTCTTTCCCCGCCAGAGTTTTTGAAAAAGGTTCCCAGCCACCGCCAGAATTTTTGATAATTTTCACAAAAGTTTCATGTCCCCCTTAATATTATGTTGTATGAATATCTGTATATGCAAAAGAAAGAATAGACCCACTGCTTTTAAACAAACAAACAAAAAGTTTTATTCTAGCTTCATGCAATCCCTTTCTATCAACACTTGAATATGGGTAAGATTCGTAAAAAAAAAAGAAAAAAAGCAACATTTTGAGCAAAAAGCTTGGGTCTACATTTCATTCAGTAACATTTCATTAGTTTTGATTTATATGCTGTTTAATGTTGATGATTGTGTTATTTTACATATGATATCGCTTGTTTCTGCTTCTTTTTCTCTTGTGTTTAAATCAGGATATTCAGTATTCTTTCAGAAGATGCATAATAGCGCCCCCCTACCGTATAACAGTGAAAACATGTCCCTTTTAGCATTTTTTTAAGATGTACATTATAATGTTCTGATGCCCAAACTCGTGATTTTAGTTTGAAGTGTTGTATTTTTAATTTATTTAGACATAATAGTGTAGTTGCATGCCTCTCTCAATCTTTCTTCATGTTTCCTCTTTCTGTTTTTCAGGGGTGTTGTATCTGCAGTATGGAGACGACACAAAGCAGATACGCATGCCTAATGAGATAACGAGTGTAGATACAGTCAGAGCTCTGTTTGTTAGTGCCTTCCATCATCAGCTCAACATGAAGATGCTGGAGTCGCCCAGCACCGCCATCTACGTCAAAGATGAGACCAGGAATGTGTACTATGAACTCACTGATGTCAGGTGAGTGTGTGTGCATCAGATTCAGCCACTTTAAAGGAATAGTTCGCCCAAAATTGAAAATTATCCCATAATGTACTCACCCTCAAGTCATCCTAGGTGTATATGGCTTTCTTCTTTCAGTCGAACAAAATCGTTAAATAATATCCTGGCTCTTCCCAGCTTTGCAATGGAATTGAATAGTCCCGAATAGAAGCTCAAAAAAGCGCATCCATCCATCATAAAAGTAATCCATACGACTACAGTGGGTTAATAAATGGTTTCTAAAGCGAAGTGATGAATTTTTGTGAGAAAAATATCCATATTTAACCCTTTATAAACTATAATCACTGGCTTTCGGCTTTCTGTTCCGACAGAAAGGTGACCTCTGACCTGACATAAGACGTAGCTTCTCTTCTCTTATATCGAAATACTCTTACATTTTTCTTCAAAACTTCTCGTTTTAGACTTCTAATTCCTAATTCTAAGCTTACGCTACTCCGTCATACATCCTACGTCGGGTCGGAGGTCACCCTGACTCTCATGATCACACGTACGTCTGTTGTCGGAAGCCAGTGATTATAGTTAATAAGGTTTTAAATATGGATATTTTTCTTACAAAGACCCATCGCTTCACTTCAGATGGCATTTATTAACCCACTGGGGTCGTATGGATTACTTTTATGTTAGATGGATGCGCTTTTTGGAGCTTCAAAAACTAGGGTCCTATTCAATGCCATTACAGAGCGAGGATATTGTTTAATATAACTAAATGTGTTTGCCTGAAAGAAGAAAGTCATATACACATAGGCTGGCTTGGCTTTTCATTTTTGGGTGTACTATCCCTTCAAAGTTTGAACAGATTGCTGTCTTCCTTCCTCATTCCACATGCTTCCTTTTGTTTCGATCAACACAGCAAGTGACATTCTTCGAGGTCCAATTGCACCTCTCTTTCCTGTTCGATTTTCTTTTTCCTTGAGAACAAACTTAGTAATCAAATCTCTCATGCATTGATTTTACAGGAATTGTGCAGCTGGTAAAGAATTGTAAATTAATATTCTGTTATCATTTACTCACCCTCATGCTGTTCCAAACCCGTATGACTTTCTTTCTGCTGTGGAACATAAAATTAGATTTTTAACAGAATGTTCATGCAGCTTTTTTCCAAATGACAAAAGCATACAGTGACTACTAGTGACTGTCAAGCTTTGAAAACGTCACAAAAGGAACATAACTGTGTCATAAAAGTAGTCAATCCCACTGGTTCACTATATTTCAAGCCTTCCGAATTCATATGATAGCTTTATGTGAGGAACACATTGACATTTAAGTTATTTGCTGAAAATGTTCACCATCATGGCTCTCAAATTTCATTTGCAAAACTAAGACATTCATATTGGTTGGAGCGAATAAAGGATGACAGACTTTTCATTTTTGGGTGAATTATTTCTGTAATATGGAACTATAGCTCTGAAAATCTTCAGTAATATTTATTTGAACCACCCTAAATAAGCCACCCTCACTCACATACACACAGACGGAACATTTTAATTAGATATCATTTGAACAGAATTACAGTCAAAGCGAGACAGCTGAAGTAAGAATGGCCTCACATCATTTGTTTTTCTTACTTTAAACCAATAAACCTGACCGTCATACATCACCCACCAGCACAGCTAATGTTAACATACCACTTATGTCACACATCAAACAAACACTCCAACATATCTTTCACTCTCATTTTCTCTGGTCTTTCATCTTTCCCTCCACCTCAGCTGATCTCTAAACACTAATGTGTGCATAGCTTTCCTTACCTTATGTATCTCTCCATCTGTTTACAAAATAAAGAGTAAACCACAACACTTTCTCAGTTGGGAATCACCTTTGAAAGACCTGATGAAATGAAAACTTGAGCTATTTACATGCTAGTATACTGCTAAAAGTTGACAAAATTAACTTCTAGTATATACACTACCTTTCATACAGTATTGTTTGGGATTTTTAAAACTGTTTTTGAAAGAAGTCTGCATTTATTTGATCAAAAAATACAGTAAAAACAGTAATACCCCCCAACAATACTTTTAAAATGACCAGTGTTTCACTTCTGGGGACACAGATGAAAAGTATTGATGACTCAGCTTGCACTATGCAGATTTTTGTCCAATTAGATGTTCTCTAGATTGAGTATGACTAAAGGCTATTGGCCCTTTAGTTCTTTCCGCTCAAACTTCCTGTTTCAGCAGAAAACACTCCAATATATGAAAGAATCATGTGATCATCCAATGATTTCAAGTTTTTTGAAGTCATTGGATGACTTTGAAGAACATTGAAGAACTGGCCACAACTAAATTTAATCATTGACTTTTTCTCAGATCTAATGAGACTATAAATAGTGACTCATACACACATTGTCCTGTAGACAGAGGAGCGGTCAGTACATTTACATTTCCATGATGATGCAACATGTACTTTGAGTCAACTCCTTTTTTATCAAGGCTGTAAATGTGAATTATAGCCACATGACCACATATCAGATTGCATGAGAAAAATGTTCACGTCACTTTACACAAATAGGTATAACACGCAAACTCATTTTGAGAGGTCCAGGAAGACAGAGACTTAAAACCATAAATAGTTGGTTAGACAGTTAATGTTTTAGCTCAATGCTGTATTAGTAAATCATTTCTGGACCTACATAGAATTATAGTCTGGACATTAACGGATATCTCAGCCACCATGGATTTTGTAACAGTGAGTCGTAGCTTCTCACCTTCATCTCCAGTTTCTCGCTCCAGCTCGCCTGTGTCTCTCAGTGAATCGCTTTATTCTCGTGATTCCTTTGACCTCTCTCGCTGCCACTCTCCGCTCTCGCGTGTTGATATACCGTCGGCCCTAGTGCACCCTGTTGTAGCAGAGCTCAGGGGCCGACCTTCAGGGTACCGTATGCGACCCCGATCGGATGGTGACGTTTGGTCTGGATATGTGACCGATGTGGATTTCTCCCCGCACAGGAACATCACAGATCACTCCTGCCTAAAGGTGTACCACAAAGACCCAGCGCAAGCTTTCAGTCATGGAGCCCGGCCAAGCAATGGAGATGCAAGGGTGAGTGCCATGCTAGTGTGGACATTTTTGTTAGACCAATAAGAAGTCAGATTCCTTAACGGAGATATGTTTTTGCTAATGGTTAGATAGCTGATGGAAAATTTCAGTTTGACATGCTTTGTATTTGGTCTTGATAATGTCAAATTTATATTTGTGATCTAAATACCTCAGACTTCCACGCTGCACGTCTGAACAGAGACATATTACTCAAGGAGAGCACTAGATAAATGAGATTATCAAATAATTTATGGAGTTTGATGAAGTTGAGAACTCTGGATAGTCACCCAACAACCTACATGTTAGGTCCACTAGTCTATCTACTACTATTCAAAAGTTTGGGGTTGGTTAGATTTTTTGAAAGAAGTCTATAATGCTCACCAAGGCTGCATTTATTTGATCAAAAACATCTCAGGTTACGACTGTAACCTATGTTCCCTGAGAACAGGGAACGAGACACTGCGTCAAAGCGCTAGGAGAAACGCCTCAGCATGACTGATGACTGAAACACTGTATAATCACGACAACCTTGTTGGCCGGCGTCAGCCATGACGTCATGCTTTAGCGCCACCAGGAAGAATAAAAGGGGCACCTAGAGAACATGTCATCCACTTCTTCGTCTGAAGGGACTGTAAAAGCGCAGTGTCTCGTTTCCTGTTCTCAGGGAACATAGGTTACAGTCGTAACATGAGACGTTCCCTTTCGAAAGGGAACTCGCACTGTGTCAAAGCGCTAGGGGAACGCTGCCATGCTGAGGGGATGCTTTAGCAACTATGGCTAAAACACATTACTGCTTACATGTCAGGCTAACAGTAGCACTACTCCCTACGGCCACTGCCCGAGCTCCATGCTAAGCAAGGGGGAACTCCGTGAATCACACAAACGGCTTGCCAGCTCAAGGGCATGGGAACCACAGCCCGACTTTCAGAGGGGGGTTCCTTTAAGGGAGTATGGCCCAGAGCCTATAGGCCCTAGCCTGCTACTTTCGAGGGGACAGAGTCAACCCCCATACCAGGGAGGCTATCCATGCTTAATGCTGAAGCCAACAACCTGCTCACTAGTATGGGAAGCGGAGGCCTCAGCAGGATGACTCAAGAGCAGAGGAGGCCTGCCCACTTACACCAATGTGGCTCTTCCAGAACTTTATCTAAAATGTGAAAAGTTCATAGTTCCAGAGCTCAGACAAAGGGCCTAAAGCAACTCTATTATCGAGAGGGCCCCTTTTTTTTACTATTACCTGCAACGCTGTTTGCATGGAGACCTCAGCAGGATGACTCTCGAAGGAGAGGAGGCCTGACACATGCTAGAATACAGCTACAGGCTCTCCTGGAGGCCTCAGAAGGATAACTCTATTAGGAAGAGGGGCCTACCAGACTCACACCGGCATCTACCAGCTAACAGGCTGTATATATGGAGGCCTCAGCAGGATGACTCATCCTAAGAGGGGTGATTTTACCACTGTCTCAAACTTAGAGACATATACTGCCTCACAGGGCTATGGGGAGCATGGGCCTTAACAAAGAGACTCTAAGAAGAGGAGGCCTGCCATACTCACACCCAAGTGGTCTTAAACTAGTTTTTCTATTTGAGAGAAACCACTATGTTAGAAAAGAAACCCCATAAAGAATATAAACACTCTGTCGAGCTCTAGAGAGCGGAGGCCCCTGATGTTATGGACTAAGTGGGAAAGAGGAAAAGGAGGGTGTGCACAGGGAAGGAGGCAATTACCTGTCTCTGCTCATGGCAGGACGCTCACGTCTGGCCTGAGCTACTTCCCTGACACCCTGCTTCTTCCTCCTGGACTCGCACCGCCTCAATGACCTACTCCTGCCAGGAGGAGAGGCACGAGTGGCGACTGAGTCCCGCTGGCCCTGTCTACGATCCTCGGAACGAGAAGGGCCAGGACCCTCAGGCTGTCTGGGTGTGGGCCTGAACCGGCGTGGTATACAAGATCTATATGCCGCTGAGCGCACCTTCGCCTCCCTGAACTTTCCGACCACCATCTCAACAGAGGTCCCGAAAAGCTCAGAGGGCGAAACCGGGGCATCGAGGAGAAAAGTTTTCTTCTTCTCCCCGATGCCTGCCAGGTTCACTCACAGATGCCTCTCCGTGGCCACCATGGCACTCCGTCCCCTCGAGAACAGAGCCAGGTGTGAGAAATCTTCCTAAAGCGCTTGTTAGCCATAGTTTCGTTTAACTCACAGTGCAGTAAAACAGTCCCTAAAGACGAAAAAGAGGATGACATGTTCTCTCGGCGCCCCTTTTATACTTCCTGGTCGCGCTAGAGCATGACAACAAGGTTGTCGTGATTATACAGTGTTTCAGTCATCAGTCACGCTGAGGAGTTTCCCCTAGCACTTTGACGCAGTGCGAGTTCCCTTTCGAAAGGGAACAGTAATATTGTGACATATAATTGCTATTTAAAATAACTGTTTTCTATTTGAATATATTTTATATGTATAAACTGTAATTTATTCCTGTGATGGCAAAGATGAATTTTCAGCATCATTACTCCAGTCTTCAGTGTCACATGATCCTTCAGAAATCATTCTAATATGATTTGCTGTTCAAGAAACATTTCTTATTATTATCAATGCTGAAAACCGTTGAGCTGCTTAAGAATTTTGTTGAAACTGTGATACATTTTTGTTCAGGATTCTTTGATGAATAGAAAGTTTAAAAGTTAAAAAGCAGCATTTATTTGAAATAGAAATCTTTTATTACATTATAAATGTTTTAAGTATTGAACTTTTGATCAATGTAATGTGTCCCTGCTGAATAAAAGTATTCATTTCTTCAAAAACAATGTACTGACATCAAACTTTTGAACGGGAATATATGTGTGTGTATATATATATATATATATATATATATATATATATATATCTATATCAAAGCATTATAATACACAGTTCGAAAAATTAAGTCATTTTTAGATTTAACAGTTAAACAATTAAAATGGGTGAACAATTAAATCAGCTGATAAATATTGAGTATTAATTGATAAGGTAAAAAAAAATCCCTGTTATCGGCCGATATTTTTCCGATATATATTGTACTTAGCATTCGTGCATTTGCTGGACGTGACTTTTAACAAACGTAATTATAGCAGGCTTCTCTACTTGTTCGAACAACCTACTAAGTAGTCAGTTTTTCCGAATCCTTCTGTAATGCCCACATGTTGCCACTTTTCATTTTTTGGCATGCTCAGAAAAATGAACTGAGGGCATTATTTAAATAACAGGTCCCTTCCCGGCCTCCCCTCCCCTTTTCTTTTCGACCATCACCAGGGATCCCTATGCTCTTCACAGTTAGAGTCACCCCCACCCCAGTCACCCCATTCCAATCCTTTCATGTCCGTCTTTGTCCCCCGGGCCTAATTTCAGGGGGATTGGATCAGGATTGAAACAGAATTGGTGGAAGCACTGAATAGAAAGCAAAGGCTTTTTCCTCGTTCCTTTTCCTCCCATAATCCTCTCTAATCTCTTGCCATGCCGGCCCTGTTTGTTTGGTGGTGATGTAACGGAAATTAGATCGCAAGGCTTTCATTTTCTCTATGTTTCCCCAAATTTAACAAGGTAGCCCCAGACTTTTGTCTGTGGTAATCCTCGGTTTGGCTTTGACCAACTTGCACAACTAATATGCATTTGATTAGAGTTTTAGACGCTGCCGTAAGAGCCCTTAAGGGAAGTTGTGAAAGTTCCAGGAAGTGAAGGACTTTGCTCACAATATTTTGTTTGATTTTTGTTTTGAGAATGTGTGCAAAGTTAGAAGTTGAAAGGCGCCTTGTTTGTGTCACATGTCCATGTCTAAGTGGATTAAACTATGGTGAGTGATGGCTTACAGTCACATATGTACACGTTTAAAGGGAGAGAGAAAGAATACAAAATATAGAGACTATTATCTGTTTGCTGACAAGAGAGTGAGAACAAGTTGTTCAGACAGTTCACAGGAAGTGTTATTGTTTGTCATTGTGGCAGTTTAAAGAGATTTTTTTTATATGGCTATGTGATTTGTATGTTGGTATTTTACTTTTAGGCAAATGTGTGACTGTAGAAGTGTTTGGTCTTGGATCGCCATCAAGTTCAGGCACAAATTAGAACAATAACAAGTCAATGAAAGTATAATCAGCTAGAAACTGTGACACTTCACAATTGGACTGTTTTGAGGGTTTCTTGTCTCTAAAGCCTGTTCCACCTTCAAGAGGTTATTGCATAATAGCTATCAAGGCTTTAAGTTTCGTACAAGCTCTCACATGCTTTACCACGTGACTGACATGGATCATAGTTTGACGCCCAGCTCATATTGTGTTTCTGTAAAAACATAGCTGCCACTTTGCACGAAAATGATACAAAATAAGATCTGAAGAATTTAAAAAAAAATTAGTTTTGCAACAAATTATCAATAAAATAAGCTGCTTAACCTTCAGAAAATATCCTCTTTTTTTGGACTGCAGTTGTTATAATTTATTTATTGTGTTACTTGCATTTTTGTGACTGCTGTTTTAGATACACTAATTAATACACTTGCACAAATGTTATAATAACATTTGTAACTATATCAATTCAGTAGAGTATGTCAAGAAAAATTATGGTTGCTCTTTGCAACCAAGAGGGATGCAGGACGTGTATCTAAGACTAGATACTTTTCAGGCAATGTAGATAATAGTTCTTCATAAAACATATCTAATGCATATCGTAACAAATAATAAAAAAAGTATTTTGTGCCTAAAATGCTGTAATGGGACACTCAAGTCTACAATATTTGCTGTTTGTACCAGTTGGCTGATTGGTCTTATAGGTGAGTGGATTTTAAATGAATATTCTGGTCTGTATGTGTAGCAGAGTGATATGAAGTTTATGTCTTTAAACTCAGTACAGATGACTTAAATCTCTCAGCCAATCAAAAAGCAGTAAATCGTATTTCTTCTATGTCACATGAGAGTCATTCCACTCCTTCCATCTTCTCCCATTGTGGAAAAGGGAAACATTCAATGTCAACAC